TAACTGTGAATATGCTACACGTTTTTAAAATGTATCTATCCATATTTTTCAAGTGTAAAAGATTACCACAGAAAACGTTTTTCAAATAAATTTTCTGCAAGAGAGTTGTAAATATGTTATAGCATTTGGAATATTTCAAATGTTATTTGCCAAAATTATGTTTAGTCTATTTAAGTCCAATTGTCTCTTATGAATTTACTGTTTATGCATACTTTAAATAGTTTGCTCTCTGTGTAAATATTTAATAAATTACAAAGATGCAATAACTGTCCAGAATTCTACATCGGAGAAACAGGAAGAAAATTAGAAACCAGATTAACAGAACACAATAAAAAAACTGTCCCATGTTTTCCACCATTGCATCTCAAAAACCATAGTATATATATTAAAAACACAGTAATTTTAAACAAAGAACCAAACATAAACAAATGAAAAATAAAAGAATCCATCTTAATTGAACAAAACAATCCTACTCTAAACCAACACCCTGGGGTGCCAAGGTATCTCTTCTAGTCTTGCAACAGTATTTGGTGTGTATATATATATATATATATATATATCCTGTTTCAGTGTAAACTACTTGTACCTGAGCTGATGGTGACACAACCTTGTCGAAATGAACGTTGTACATATTTGCTGTTATGTTAAACTTGCATTAAAGTTTTTCTTCATTACCCATTCAAGCCATCTCCAAGCATTATTAGTCTTAAAGTGGGTTCCTCGTCATCGAATTTAAATTAAAAATTTTTTTTTTTCTTTCTTACAGTGATGACCATGGATTCAGTCCTCTACACTGGGCTTCTAAAGAGGGTAGAGCAAACATTGTTGAAATGCTCATGTTTCGGGGTGCAAGGATCAATGCCACCAACATGGGAGATGATACTGCCTTACATCTTGCTGCTGCTCATGGTCACAGAGATATTGTACATATGGCAAGTAGGAGTATTATGCATGCTATATTTTGGCACAGGAATATATTGCTTTAAGAATATCTCTATCTAATATTCCATTTTTCTATTGTTTCAGATAAATTAAAATGTGTAAGTGTAATTGAAAGTAATATTAACGTATGTTTTATCAGATAAAGGCACTGTAGTTTAGAGAAAAATCTATGCAACAAGTAAAAAATAAGCTTGAAATGAGTTTAATTTACTTTGTGCTTATTTAAAAGAGGAGAAATAAATAAAATGCCCAGATTATTGTAGAAATAAAAAATGTAGTGCACATTCCAGAAATAGCTTTAAAATGTGTAGGCTTTTTGCTTATGGTATAGTGCATATATGCATCTATATAACCTGTTAACTGAAAATACTAGCTATATATTTGAAAAACTTTAAATGCTTTGTCTTTGATATATTTGGTATATCTTATATTTCAGTTATACTTAAATAGATACAACGTTTTATTTTGTTTTGTTTTTTACTTCAAGGAAACTTGTAATAATGTTTTGAATGTATTTCAGCTGCTTCGAAAAAAGGCAGATATTAATGCTGTAAATGAGCATGGTAACACAGCTCTTCATTATGCATGCTTTTGGGGTTATCAAGCTATTGCTGAGGTAAGTTAACCATATTAACTATGTCAGGTTTTCTGCATGGGCCAGATTCTTTACAGTAGGTGTCTGAGACTTGTTGGCTATAAATTGCAACAATAAACAAACAGTCCACTTATTTTAGAATAATATATTAGAACAAGTCAAACATATATACAAATATTCATAACACTCTTGGTTATTACAGTTGTATCCAGAGCTTTAAATAATTTTCTTTTTCATCAAAGTCCACACGGGTTGGTTCAGTTACTTTAGAACACAATTGACAAGACAAATTATTTCTTTTTTACTGTTATTACAATACAATTTGTGATAATTTCACTTTACAAATTTCCACTATACACACAGTCTAGATCTAACTTTTGAACCACATTTTTCGATGCATATTTATAGCCTGACAGAGGTATAGAATGTTCCACCCACTACTAGATATTATGATGCAATAATAATCAAGAAAAACTTGGAAGGTTCTAGTAACATGGCACAATAATATAACAATTACCAACTCGCAGTAATTGAACTACACAACATATGATTCAAAAAAAAAATAAACAAACCTGTGATAAACTATCACTTCTAAAAATAACTAAATTTAACACTCGTGCTATCTAAATCATAACACTTGCATTAAACTTAAATGGAAATAGTCGTGTATATCTAACAAACAATCATCCTTTTCTCCAGTGAAGATAATTTCAAATGCTTAATTTTATCTTAAGCAATCATTATTTTATATCAAGAAATGTATGTGCCTGATGTCTTTCCATCTAGTGTAAAGTTTTGTACAATTAATTTATGCAAAAGATGTGTACAATTAATTTTTAAATAATATCTTTTTCTTAAAATTTAAATGGTTTCCACCTCTTATGAAACAGTTGTAGGCCCGGCATGGCCAAGTTGTTAGGGCACTCGACTCGTAACCTGAGGGTCGCGGGTTCGAATCCCCGTCACACCAAACATGCCAACCTCCGCCTTTGCCTGGACCCAAGTCTAGGATGAGAAAGGAGGAGGGTTGGGCGCGGGGCTAGCAACTCCACTCCATAAAAAAACAACCTGCTACAAGTAAGTGCAACAACAACTTTCCGTTAGTGAGGTGTTGTTACGGCCCTATGCTCCACTGGGAGTTTACAGGAATTAAAAAAAAAATACATCTTGTAAATTCTAGGATGGTCATAGAATCTGTTCATACAGGCGTATAACCATTAATCAAAAGCAAATCTTCCTTGGTATTAACCTTTTCTGTTTTTTTCCTTTAAGAAGTAATAAAAATCACCAGAAAAGTTTTCTTTAACTGTTTTGTTCATTCATAATAATATTTGCCTTGAATCCTGATCTTATTCAAAATTATGAAAGTAGAATCGTGATAATGATGCTGTATTAAAATACTCAAGCCTTTTCATTACCTTGAAAATTAATGTGCTTGTCTCCCAAGATGATTCATTTTTTTTAGTGAAACTAATATACACTGTAATTTAGCTATTTGAGACATTCTTTTGGATTTTCAAAAAGCAAATGCTAGCTTAGTGAAGTGATATAATTTATTTGTTTCATTTTTTTTTTGTCTACAGGACCTTGTGAACAATGGTGCACTAGTATCAGTTTGTAATAAATATGGTGAGACCCCTCTAGATAAATGCAAGGGACAGATGGCTCAGAAACTCCATGGTAAGATTTATTTGTTTTTTCAGTCTACTGGTAAATTATAATGTAATTTTTATGGACATCTAGAATTGATATTTTCTTAATTTTTGCTATGGGCTCGGTTGAGATTTATTCAAGTTCATGCCCATAAAGTGACCATCAATTTCCATATCATAACTTTTAATATGGTATGTGTATCTTCACAAAATCTGGCAAGCTTTCAGTAAAAATTACAGATTTTTTTTAATTAAGTACTTTTACTAAAAAGTTGCCTGTGAATATATGGAGTCAGATTGACTGCTCTGAGTGCAAATTGATTTTCATGTTAAGATTAAATATATTTTTCTTTATTTGAAAATTGTGAAATTTCATTTGCATAATCTCTAAAACTTTCGATATGAATATCAAATATTTTTGTTTTTAGTAAACGTAATATTTTATTTATTTTCTCTACCCTAACTTTATACCCATTTGTAACTGACCTTGTAACCTCTAAAAAAAAGAATTAAATCTAAATTACCCTTTATTCTTTCTAGAATGAGTGCAAGTTGTAACATGAAACAACAATGGTTTATCTTAAATAGCTTAAAGCTTGTAACTGTATACATCTGTTTCTACTTGTGTCTCTCAACACAGGCTTGGTCAGTTAGACTGACCATGTGACCTCTTTGTACTCATTTAGTCTTTAGAGTTTTGACACTACTAACTTTTAATATACTGTGTATATCTTCACCAAATTTTGTAGACTTTTAGTAAACATATCTTTCACATACAAAAAATCATATTTTTAGTGAAGTACTTTAATAAACTAAAAAAAGATTTGTCCATGAATATATTGAGTATTTTTTATTAGTCCACGTGCAAAGAGATTTTCATGTTGAGATTAAAAGTACTTTTTTTCATCTCAAATTTCATTTGCATAATCCTTAAAACCTCCTAAATATATTTCAAATGTTTGTTTCAGTAAAACTTTATATTTTATTTGTTATTTTCTGTACTCTAACTCTATACAAGGTTGGTCAATTTGGCCGATCTCATAACCACCAAATAAAGATTGAATTAAATCTAAATTACCCTTTTTTTCTTTCTAGAATGATTTCAAATTGTAACATGAAACTACATTTGTTTATCCTAAGTAGCTTTAAACTCATAACAGTATACATCTATTTATACTTAAATTTTATTGTTTTATTGTCCTTTGATTGCTCTTAGAACCATGTCTGACTACTACTATTCAAGCCATTATAAGTTGTAAATCGCTTGGGGAATGAGGAGTTCATGTTACGCTATCGCATTACATTGCTCATGAGCTACTCCAAGCTGCTTGCATGTATGAATGTTGGACGGACATTCCGCCTCCTGCAACCCTTTTTACAGCTTATGTAATGTTTTGAGTATTTCTCCTTTGGCTTATGAATCTTTACCTTCTTCATTGGAAAAAAACTAGTTCATCTCATTACCTGGTCCATCCACCTTCACCAGATATTGCTGTGCATGCAAGGAGATTTGCAGATCATTTAAGAGAGGGTTCTGCCATGCCTTGTCTTCCTTGTTTATTGGATCATCATGCCTTGGCTTTCCATTGCCTGGAGAACCCTCATGTGGACTCGCAGAGGTTAGACCCTTGCCTTTCTATCTAGGACTCTACACAAGATGCCACTATTCATCTTAATCAGTCTCAGTTTTTCAGAATTCATCTGTCACAACAGTTTTGCAGTTTTTATCACATTTGCAACTGTTGTCTGAGGCCTATTGTAGATTCCCTGCTCAAATTTAAGAGGATGTTCTCCATTAATTGACTTCTACTTTGGTCAGGTTATTGGCTTCTGCTTTCTCTCCTTAGTATTTTGGTTGGTTTGTTGCTGGGATCTTTTGGAGAGAGATGCTGTATTGAAGGGAGTTTGCCTTCCTCCATAGGCTCTTAGAGATCTCAGAGTAGCTCCTTTTCTTAGACAGTCTATTTTTGTGGGAATTCCAAACTATGGAGTGTAGAGTAGATGTGGCCTGTCTTCATTCTTCACTTTCTACACTGGCTTCTTGACTGTCCCACAGTTCTACAGAATAGTTTACTGCATCTCCCATTCAAGTTTCCAGACCTCCTACTTAGTTGCTACAATCCATTGGAACACAAGGGCAATTTTGACATTACCAGTAAGGATAATTCTCCAGGGTGGAGTGCAGATTTTGGCATTGGTGTCAGGTCCTGTGGGGTTTTATCTTGGAGGGTTTGTTTCAGTATGGGAGACATTAACCACAGTTTAGTGAGTCATTCAAGTTCTCAGGACTAGATTGGTCATTCAATTCATGTCTTCTTCTCCTCTGTCTCTCATGCTGGCTGGCTTTCCACTTCCCAAAGACCCTCTTACTTTCAACCTTCATGCACAAGCCATCCAGAATCTTCTGCACAAAGAGGCCACAGAATACGTCACTTTCTCTCTAGAGTGTTTTATTCTTGGCTGTTAGTAGTATCTAAAAGACGGGTGATTGACGACCAGTCATCAACTTTTCTTGTCTCCATCACTTCCTCCAGCCTCCTCGGTTTACAATGCAGTTGATTCTTTCCCTTTGGTGGTCTTTTTCACCTGGCCTTTGGATGACAAAATTCAACGTCGCAAATGCCTACCTTCCTACCCATATTGCTGAGTCTTCAAGGCATAATATCCATTTCATGCACAACAACCAGGATTTTCAGTTTCTTGCTAGACCATTAAGCCTTGCATCTGCTCTATACATTTTTTGTCTGATAGTCGGTTTTTTCATGTCATCCCCATACCCCTGGCACTCACACTCACCATTACATGGACGACTGGCTTCTTGCTCCTTCTCACCATTTAGCAGAACTGCACACTCAAACTGTGCTATCAGAAACTTTGAGAGCTGGGTTTCTTATTAAAAAGGAGAAGTATCTCATCCATTTAGGAGTGTTTTTCAGTTCCAAACTAAGCCATGCCCAACCTTGTCCTCTTTGGCTTTAGGCCATGCAACGGTGATTCTTCAAATCCATTTGTCTTCTCTGCCAGCATGCACAGTTCTATCTCTTTTGGGGATGTGAACATCATTGGAATCACTCATTCCTCTAGGTAGGGCCCTTCAGTGGTCATTATGGGACCAGTTGACATTTGCACAGGTGCATTGGATTGTCCAATAAGACTGTTGTATTCCAGTTTGCTGGATCTCAGCTGGTGGTTGAACAGGGACAACACAACAGTAGGTGTCCCTCTACCACCATCATGGCCAGAGGTACATCTGTTCACAGATGCTTCTCTTCAAGGCTGGATGCTTGTATAGAAAAATATAGAATTTCAGGGACTTTGGACAGTAGAGGAAGCTTGTTTCCATATAAGTCTCTTAGAACATTTAGTTGTTCAACGAGCTATAACTCAGGATTTCAAATTGTTCTGAGGGAAGGTGGTAATGCTTCATTTTGGACAATTCCACAGTAGTCCCATACATTTCAAAGCAAGGGGGTCCCTCATTCAAGATCTTTGTTTTCGAACAGTGGATCTTCTCCTTTGGGCACACAAACGACAAATTGTTCTCCTTGCTTGTCATGTACCAGGGGTAAAAAATCTAGTGGCCAACCAGTTATCTCGTCCCATCAGAGCTCTTCCTATGGAATGGATGCTTCATTTGCATTGGATCTGCTCTTGTCTTGGGACATGACAGATTGATGCTTTCACTACACACTGGACTGCTCAGTTCCCATCCTTCTGGTTTGCAGTACCTCACCCTCTGGCTTTGGGAGTAGATGCTCTCAGTCAGGATTGGATGGGTCTTTGGATGGTAACTTGTCTGGTTCTGGCACTGATTTTCTCCAGGTCCTATTGGATTCTTCTGGTGGCACCATATTGGCTGAGTCAGTCATGGTTTCCACTCCTCCAGTATCTTCAGGAATGTCAGCTTCTTCTCTTCCCCTTCCTCCCCATCTTTCTTACTTCATCCTCGGTTGAGCATTTCCATCCAGAAGCCTGAGTTCTTTGACTTCACACCTACCTTTTATGTAGCCATCGCATGACATCAGGGAGTGACATTTTGAGTGGTGTCTTTATTAATATGTTCCATTCGACATCCTTCTCTGGAAGTTTATCAAAGAAAATGGTTTACTTATCATCAAAGGTCTCTCAGACATGGGTTTAACCCTTCACGTCCCACTGCATCACATATCTCAATTTTTGACATGGTGATTTGACAAAGGTTTGGTGCCTTCATCTATTGCCTTGTGTAAGGCTGCCTTATCAGCTACAAAAAGTAAAAGAAGGAAAGTGTTGAATCCCCAGTTTTGTCATTACTTTTGAAATCAATTAGGTTATCTGTCCTCATCACCCTTTCCAAGTTCCTAATTGGGATGTCATAGTGGTTCTTTGTGCATTAATGTGTCTACCTTTTGAGCCTTTGGGGCCATGTTCACTATATCATCTTTCACTTGCATCATATTTTCTTCTGTTGTTGGCTAGAAGACATTGATGTACAGATGTGTTTGCACTTCATGTTCACAGGACACTTTACCATTCCAACTACATTCTGTTTTATCCAGACAAGTTCTTTCTATATAAAAATCCAGCAGCTAGGGAAGAAAATGTGGCTTTCTCTCTTATTCTTCTTCCCTTCATTTCCCATTTATGCAACCATTTGGATCTGGATCGTTTTTTATGCCTTGTTCTGGATCTCCGATGTTAAGTGGCGTGCACTGAAGCATTTCAGGGCTCACAATACTGGTTGTTTATCCATTGGGATCCTTCAGTATCATGCGACTTATCCCCTGTCACATTGACAAATTGGATTAGTCAATTAGTTCAAATAGCTTACTCTGGTCTTTCAATGGAGAAGCTGAGACTTCTTAGGATCTCATCTCATCAAGTTCGACATAGATCGATGTGCCTGGCAGCTTGGTTATGTCAGCCACAAAAGAGAATTGTACTAACTGGTATGTGTACAACACCTAATATCTTTATATCGCATTACTTACAGGACTTAGCAGTCTCCTCCTTAGGTTCACCCCATTCCTGTGGTTATTCTAAACACCCCAGCTCAGTTGTGACAAAGGTGAGAAACTTCATTCCTTTTCAAAGACATTCTCATCATTAATCCTCCTCTCCTCTTTTCTAGAGGAGTAAGGGAGTGGTGGATAGAGATCTATTCCTCCTGAGTGATTTTTGTACTATTTATTCCACTCAAGGAAAAGAGGGTGAAGCTGGATACTCTCTCACACTTAACCCTAGTTGGTTTTAAAAGATGTTTGGAGGGGAGCTGGTCCAACTTACACGGGAGCCTCCTCGTAATTCCAGTTCAAAGATGACACTTTGCTATCTGATTGTGTGAGCATGGCCCTTCTTTTTAACCATTCTCTTACTTTCCATAATTGTGGAAGAGGGTCTTCGACTCTTCATAATTCTGCAAGGTTGAGGAGTTAGGATTTTGGGTCGTAATCGCAGGCTGAATAATCTCTGTTTGTTCAGGTTGGGTGAGACACGAAATTGCTCCGTAATTCTGAGTTCGGTTTGTTGCATTCTAAGCTTCTTCAGGTTGGGAGGAAGACTTGTCAAGTTGGATGTTGCTTGCTTTCCCTTCATAATTCTGTTGGCTCATATGCAACATTCTGAAACTTTCAGGTTTGGTGCCTAGGACCATAATTTCGAGTTCAGTTTCTTGCATTTTGTTGGATTTAGGGTTTGTCCACTTGGGTGTTGCTTGCCTTTATTTTTACTTCCAGTGGCTTGATATACAAAATCTGTAATTTTCAGATTCGGTTTCCTTCATGTCATATTATTGTTATATGATTATATTGCAGTCCCCACGCCCTAGCCACTACACTTTTGATCTAGCTTTGCATACACAGCTCTATAATTCCAACGACGAGATGTGGAACCTCATTTGTGAGGTTGAGGCCCAGGTGAATCTCATGATAATGAACAGTATGGACTCTGTAGCTGGTTGGCCTTTACTGTCCATGTTTAAATTTCACTTTATCTGGGCAAAGAGCATATCTGTTCCAGAAGTAGTGCATACCTCCACTAGTGTGCTTTATTATATCTCAATTTAGCACATCTGTTTTTTTTATGTAGAATTTCTGTATGGATCTTGCCCTCACTGGCCCCTCCACCTGGTCATTGTGGGATTTTAGTTAAAGTGTGAATGGAGGTGTGTTTTGCAACTTAACATTTTCCTATACCAAAAATGTATTTCTGAAAATACTTACCTCTTCTCAAAATATCCCACCCTTTCTCCCCACGATAGCTGGTGTTTGGGTCTCATAATCTTTCCAGTCACAAAAAGGTGAATAAGAAAGAATAATGGGGAAGCTTGTATACACACTTAGGCCTTAGTAAGAGAGTTAAACAATGATTAATCTAAACTTTTGATTTTAACATGTTAGGACTAATTTTGTATTCTGAAACAAGAGTGGGAAAGCTTTAATATATGTTTTAACAAAATTCAACATATAGAAATAATTTTTACAGAATGCCATTTATTGCATATCTAAAAATCTGGTATATTTTCCTGTAAGGTGCATTTTAATTTATAAGATATTTGGAATACTTTTATTAAGGTAAATATTATTATTTTAGTTCAATAAACATTTCATGATCTTTACTTCTTGTATGGTTGTTAATCTTATTGTAATAATTCAGGAAAGTATAATAGTTTCATAGAAACAAAATTTATGTAAGATGTTAATAAAAGATCAAAATAATTTGTAACTGAATGATACTTACTGCCACTATTAGTATATCCATTAAATATATTAAACCCATAATTATTTTTTCAGAACTTGCAGCACAAACTGGCCAAGATTTTAAGAAAATCAAGTTCAAAGAACAAAATTGGCTAGGAACAAAGACAAGAAGCCGTAAGTAGAAAGAGTTACTGCTGTGTTTTGTCATACGACTGTTTGTTAAATATGTACTACACTTTAGATTAAATTAATATTTAAAGATAGAATAAAATATTGTTAGGAATTGTAGCATATATATATATTTTAACTTTTTATTTTGAAATCATTGTACATATTTAAAAAAAATTAATCTTCAAAGCATGGAATGTAACAGGTAGAATCAGTCTTTCCACTCTCTCTCTCTAGGAGAAGGAGAGAGAGCAACAAAAGTCTGTTTTCAGTATCTTAAAAAAAAAAACTGTTTCATATCAAGTAGTTTAGGTGTACAAAAGAAAGAAATGTTACAGTATATGTTTATATAATTTTGTGTTTAATATTTATTGACTACATCTAGATGTAATAAAATACATATTGCTTTGTATTTACATGTATTACAATTTAACATGTACTGCTCAAAATAATTAAGGTATAACCAGAGCTTCCTACTGAAGTCTATGTTCATAATGCTCATTTGTCATAACCATGTCTTTCTTCCATGTGTCCTGGGCAGTCTCCAGATATGTACTTGTTTTGTTTTGGGTTGCAATATGAGCATGTTTCTTCTGTGTACAAGACATTCACCCTTATGTTGTTTGATCAATCCAAATGTTCTGACACTACTAGAGATGAATTAGAATAATCATGCCATTGGTTATCTGGCATAAAGGCCACTAGGAAATTTATTTCTAACCCATTTTTATGCTTATTTAAAGCCCATTTGTTGTTCTGAACTGTTGGGGAGCTGAGGCCTGCTGTTTGTTTTGAGCAAATATTATCAAATAGTGGCGGCTTTGCAAGGATGTTGACAATGGTCTGCTCTTTCGGGTCTCCATCCAATTTTATTGGTGGTCTGAAAGTGAGTCCATGTTCTGCTAACTACACTTTTTGAGACTTAGTCATTCTTTAATCACTGTGTAACCAACATCGTGGAAATGTCAAAATGTCTCCATTGGAGTGCTAGCATGTTTCACAATTGATTTATACTTTATACACTTTTTGCTTTTGTTCAAACTAACAATGACAATTCACAGTTTCTTCATTTTTGTTTACAACTGAAATGTGCCTATACAATGACATGATAGGCTACCTGACACTTGTTTTGCATAAAAATAAATTCATGGGTGCTGTTAACATAATTTGATAACAGTAGTTGTGCTTTGTCTTAGCTAGAATAAAGAAAAAAACTGACTATCCCTTAATTGTTTTTATGTGGTGTACATAAGTATTATTGAACATGTAGGTTAGGCCTACAGTTAGTGTAAAATTATAAAACCAGTACTAAAGGATATGCTAACATTCAAGTTTGAGTAGAGATTGCTTAATTATTACAGTTTAGGTTTGAAATACAGTTGCTAATGTAAATTAGGCATCTTATGAAAGTATTTGTAGTGATTAAAATTTGATTAATTATGGAAGCATTTACTGATACTTGTTTTTGATACTCATTTGCATACAGATTAGGCTTAAATAACCTATGCAAAGCACCAATATAGATTGTATTTGTAATAATTTTGAATTTTCTAGGTAAGCAAAAGAGTGTATCCATATAGATATAATAGTTATAAAGTTAACCATAGTTTTCAAAAAACATTTACATATTACTAGCCAGAGCATGTCATTAATAATAATAATAATAGTATACTTCATGTTGGTATGAAATACATTCTGCATGTGTATAATTAATTGAAGAGAATATATGTTATCTAAGTAAGTACATTATAAGTTGTATAAAATATAAATCTAATAAAAGATTTTCTAAATATTTAATGAAATATTGCTGTTCACATGGAGATGGTGTCATTATCATGCTACATTTTATATTGTATGAATATGTTAGGTATAGCTTTATTCATTTGTCTTTGATCTAGTAAGCAAATACACATCAGTATTTTACTGTAATTATTCCAAAAATGGATTTGAATCTCTACATTATTAAATTATTACTTGAATCAACTCAACTACAGTGTTAAATGGTGATGTATTGGAAATTTAATACATTTGTTTTATTTTAAAAATTATTGCAATAAAGTTTACACATTTTGTCTTTAGTACTAAATATTGCATTTATAATTCACTGTGAATACAGAAATATGTCTGAAAGTATTTAACATGAAAATAATTGAATAAAAATATTTTGAAATGTGTTAATACATCAAAGTTTCAGGTACTAAGATTAAATGCATCTTTTTAAAATTATTATTCAAAAAATTACTAATACAACATAGTAAAGCTTTGAGCCACTGAAAGGAGGTGCAGTATTGTACTGCCATATTTCTAACTAATTTTCCATTAACAAGTATTTTGACAGGTTCTGATATAGTTGTAACACGTTCTACTGAAAATGTTTGATAAGCTGTTGAAATGAGTTTGCATGAAACCAGTGTTTGCTAACTTCCTCAACTCTGAATGTTATTTTTACAGATTTTAATAAATATTTGTATTGTTTGGTTAAAGCTTAAATTAATTTTAGTAAAATTGCTAAGGAATATTAAATCTGTTATTAGGGGATGCTACTTTATCTCGACATTCAGGAATTGGAATAAATGAATTGAATCTTCAAGTAAAACTAGCCAGCACACCGTCTGGTGAGGTAAAAACATTTTTCATTGTAAAAGTATTTTATACTATGTTGTTCTCTGTTTAAACACTGTAGTTCATTATACATAGTATAACTGTAAAAGCTCTTATCTCTGGAAGGCATTAACATTGATGTTATTTAGTTATATAACTGCACTAGGTACAAAGTTTTAAAATGATTTACCGAAGTATTTCAGCTATGTCATATGTAAATAACTGTTTGCTGATTAAAGAAATATATATATTTATTAAAGACTTGGAGAGGAACTTGGCAAGGCAATGATATAGTAGCCAAAATTCTAAGAGTCCGAGAAGTCACACCACGTATTCCTCGAGATTTCAATGATGAGTACCCTCGGTTGCGAATCTTTTCTCATCCAAATGTATTGCCAGTTGTTGGTTGTTGCTGTACTCCTCCAAATCTGATTGTTATTAATCAGTACATGCCATACAGATCACTGTATGCAGTTTTACATGAAGGAACAGGTAAGATATTATTCTTAAGTATCAAGAATAAAAAAAAAAAAAAAATACAATAAAAAACTGAAATACATATCCTTATTGAACTTTGGTTAGAAGATAATATTGAGTAGCTACTTGTGATTCATGTAAATTCATCTCTTGTATAATAAAAACAACATATATAATCTTGCAACCTTCTGACTTGTATAGGAAACTCTTGACTATTTTTGTATATAAGCAGAATGGAAATTTTTTGTGGAAAGATATTTGATTAATACAATAGTGTGTTAATTTCATCATCATATTTATAGATAATTTTGTTTTGAGTTAAAAGTTGATCAAAAATGTTCCTTAAACTGTTTTGATGTGTTAATTCATTTTTTTAAAGTTACTTTGGTGTGTGGTATACCAGTATGTCATAAACATTAGTACATGGGACTGCTTGGTTATAATGTGACATCATATAATATTAAAAAGGTACTAAAATAATGATTAATTATAAGGAGAAACGAAGTAAAAATTATTGGTCAAATCTGTTCTTAAGTACTATGCTTCAGGTATCAATGTCTTTATATAAACAGAATTGAAAGTACTTTAATAAGCAGAATGGGTTTATACCACATTGATATCTTGAATCTAGTTTGTTTTTTAATTGGAATTAGCTTTGACCTTTTTCTTTAACCCTTTCCATACAGGTCATGGGTGAAAGGCCATGTCATCATGTTTATTGACTCGCATTCAAAATTTTATTGAACTACTAT